GTGAAAATTAGCCGATCGAAAAAATACGTGTCTCTTATTTTTTTATGTTCTACAATATGTATCAAAATCATCAAAATCGGTGAGTTCGAGTCGGGTACCTTTCCTTGTTAGAAAGAAGATGATAACTAGGACAACGAAAAATATTGCAGGTTTCTTAGTGTCATCTGCGCAGAAGATCGTGGATTCACAAAAGTCTCTAGTGCAATCCAGCACGTCAAACACACCGACACACACAGCTATGGATATAGATATAGCAGACGAATACGACGCGACCACCGGTAATGGGCAGACTACTAAACACTTCCAAAACCTTCGAGCATAGCTTATACTATTGATGCCGCACTTGAAAAATGTACGCATGAATGAAGATACAGAGCTTAGTAGATGTAACAGATATTACAGATGTTAACAAGAATATAGCGACGGCTATAGCTGTAATGAAGAAAGCGGTGCAGATTGCGTGGAATGAGTGCGATTGCTTAAGCTCTTTCCTAGAGAACGCCCAGAACACCACGATCAGTTATCAGAGAATTGAAGATTAATCGGACTAGACCACGGTTCCCTCCTCGCAGAAAAAAAGATAGTGACAGCAATGCCTGTTACATAGAAGAAGCGAATGACGGTTTCCGGAACGGCGCCGAGTACACAGACAGGGAGACTACAGGTCTTGACGTTAGCAACGGCGGCGCCTGCCTGTCGAAATAAGCCGACTCAAATAGATAAGAGTCGGCCCGAAGCGGGTAATCCTACCAGAGAAAGGGTACCAACGTTATAATGGTCAGACTAAAAGTCGGAAAGACGTACGCAGACACATTACATCGACTGAAAACCAAGATTAGTCTTGATGACTCCAGATTGAGCATTTCAGGATATCGGGGACAAAGGACGAAGAACTTTTAATGCACTTCCGCAGCGATACAACCGACAGACAAAAGTTTTAAGAGAAACTGCAGCAGACTCTCAGAAACTACAGAATCTGACGCAGACATAATCACTAGAAACTCTAGATTGTCTTTTAAAATCAGATCACATTTATTCTGCATTTTTAAAAACGTTGAGGTCTGAATATGATCAGATATACAGGGTGGTGAAAAAGTAAGGAAACACCTGAAAATCTCAGAGGGTTGGTCATAAAAATAAAATTCTTAAGGTCAGGTCCTATATAATTTTCAACGAGGAATCCAGTGATGACCATGAATTTGACCTTGGACCTTACCTTCAAGGTCATTTCAAGGTCAACCTCTTTTTTTCAAATGAGAATCCCTATTTTTGATGCCGGAATCAAAATGAGCGGGAAATTTTACGTCCGGATACGTGGTTAGATATGAGGTTAAAGTAACCTCTGGAGGTCAAATAGAGGTCAATGTCGGAAAAAGTATGGAAACCCCTGAAAATCTGAGCGTTGGTCGTAAAAATAAAATTGTTAACGTCAGGTCTTATGTAACTTTCAACGATGAATCCAGTGATGACCTTGAATTTGACCTTGGACCTCACCTTCAAGGTCATTTCAAGGTCAAATTTCTTTTGTTAAATGGGAACCCACACTTTTGACATCGGCAATTGAAAGAGAGTCAAATTTTACGTTAAAATATGCCTTGAGGTCCAAGGTCGACGTGACCTCTGGAGGTCAACTAAAGATTAACAGTATATTTATATCGAAACTCCAAAAATGTGTCTATTTTGATTATTAAACAAGAAAACTAGTTTCTCAATCCAGAATCCTTCTTTTAGCGCTATCCAGGAACAACGACGTGGACGTAGAAGGATTCTGTTCCCTTTGGGGTGCTGGATTATCGTGAGTTCCCCTTGCCTCTCACGTCGGGGTGCTGGATTATCGTGAGTTCCCCTTGCCTCTCACTTAGGGCGTTTTTATGAATTATTATAGTAGATGAGTAAATTTATAACAGATGCTCAAATTGTTCTCCATTTGTTTCTTGACAGTAACCAATCCTGATGTAAAATGACTGAACTGCATGTCGAATCATATCTCTTGTAATGAGAGCAGTTTCCTCAATAATTCTACGTCTTAATTCATCAAGATTTTCTGGATTTATTCTGCAAACGCGATCTTTTAAATAACCCCATAAGAAAAAATCCAATGGTGTTAAGTCTGGAGATCTTGGAGGCCACTCTATGCTACCTCGTCTACCTATCCATCTTTCGAAGAATGTTTCATTCAAAAATCCTCTAACATTAACTGCAAAATATGGTGCTGCACCGTCTTGCTGGAACCATGTGTTTTCGAAATCGTCTCCTTTTACAGCTTGTATTGCTGGAACAATTTGGTTTCGCAATAGCTGTTCATAATTTTGTGCATTTAAATTTCCTTCGATAAAAAAGGGACCTATTATTGTGTCGTCTACAATTCCTGCCCACACATTTAGTTTTTGAGGATATTGAGTGTGAGTTGCGTCCATCTAGTGAGGATTTGTATCAGACCAATGTCGAAAGTTATGTCGATTGACATTACCGATTAACTGAAACGTTGCTTCATTTGAAAAGACAATATTTCCTAAAAATTGTGGATTGTCAGTTATCATTTCCATCATCGTCTCACAAAATTCAGTGCGACGATCAGGATCATCTTTATTTAATTCTTGCACGAGTTTAATTTTGAAGGGATGCAATTTGTTTCTGTTCAAAATTTGAAGAACAGATGTGTGATGGATGTCGTGTTGTAAAGCTGCAGATCGAAGAGTCTCATGAGGTTTTTCTACAAAAGACTGTAAAACATGTTAAGATTTTTCTTCGTTTGTTGCTGTCGATGGTCTACCAGCAACAGGACGATTTCGAACAGATCCCGTGTCATCAAAACGTCTTATTGTTTTTGAAACAGTTCCTCTTGATATAGGAGTACCATTGTTTCGAAATGTTGCATTAAACAAATTAGTTACCTGTGTATATGACCTATGCATATCACCCCAACCTCTCATCATCAAAAGTGATATCCGTTCTCTTTCGGACAATCGAAACATTTTGGTTTCAAAATGACTTCTTCGTACAAAACTAATTTACAACAAAAATATTTGGTGATTTTGTCAAATTTTATCTCTTGCAACTACAGAGTGTTATTTATGCAGTAATACCAAAAATGTATTCGTCAAGCGAATTGAAGTAAAAATTCATTCATTCATAAATTTATTTTCTATCTAAAGAAAACCTTTTTTTAACAATATCATTTATGTAACTACGCGGACATGAAAAAGCCACACATAATATTGAATTTTCGACTTTTAATGAGACAGCTATTTTGTTAAAGATACATTTCGTCAGTTTGGCGGAATAATCGGACAAGTTGAGTTTTTATTTGTAAAAGCGGACACGTCGGATTTCCATTTGAAAATGTGGATACGTTGGCTTTCTTTCTTTTCTTTCTTTCTTGTAGAAGCGGGCGTAACGAAAATAATTTTTTCTTGTCTAATTTAAACTTAGCAATACTTTTTTAATGTAACGGATTGAATGGTAAATGAATGTTAATGAAAATAGAAACGAATTTTTGCGGGATCCAACTTCGTTTTCGCTATTTGTTTGAAAGGCTACGATTTAGAAATTTTTTGCAAATGAAACGTTCTACCAAATTTATGCAAATGAATCATTTTAGCAAATTTTCGTAAATGAATCGTTTTTGCAAATTTCTGCAAGTGAATCGTTTTTGCAAATTATTACAAACTACATATCTGATTTTCTAAATTATTTTCTTATTTTAGCCAACTTATTCAGTAATTTTGGAAATCGCCGTGTTTCCGTGTAGCCGTGTATCCCGATTCAGGTTCAGGGTAGCGTGATCGAGATCAGTGATACTAAAACCTATTCAACAAAGCACCCCAAGTGAAAGGCAAGCGGAACTTACTCTAAAAAAGCCCCCCAAAGGGAACAGAATCCTTCTACGTCCACGTCGTTGTTCCTGGATAGCGCTAAAAGAAGGATTCTGGATTGAGAAATTAGTTTTCTTGTTTAATAATCAAAATAGACACATTTTTGGAGTTTCGATATAAATATACTGTTAATCTTTATTTGACCTCCAGAGGTCACGTCGACCTTGGACCTCAAGGCATATTTTAACGTAAAATTTGACTCTCATTCAATTGCCGATGTCAAAAGTGTGGGTTCCCATTTAACAAAAGAATTTTGACCTTGAAATGACCTTTAAGGTGAGGTTCAAGGTCAAATTCAAGGTCATCACTGGATTCATCGTTGAAAGTTACATAAGACCTGACGTTAACAATTTTATTTTTACGACTAACGCTCAGATTTTCAGGGGTTTCCATACTTTTTCCGACATTGACCTCTATTTGACCTCCAGAGGTTACTTTAACCTCATACCTAACCACGTATCCGGACGTAAAATTTCCCGCTCATTTTGATTCCGGCATCAAAAATAGGGGTTCTCTTTTGAAAAAATGAGGTTAACCTTGAAATGACCTTGAAGGTAAGGTCCAAGGTCAAATTTAAGGTCATCACTGGATTCCTCGTTGAAAGTTATATAGGACCTGACCTTAAGAATTTTATTTTTATGACCAACCCTCTGAGATTTTCAGGTGTTTCCATACTTTTTCACCACCCTGTATGATAAATTCTGCATAAATAAATAAATATTAGTTGTTTGTTAATATTTCTCTAGAAAAATATCTTAAATAATATTTAATTAAAAAAAGTAGTATTATATTTTTTTTTGTTCGATGGAAAAATATTAAATACACGTGTAGAATTGATATCTGTATAACATCGCCTTATTTCCTAACACAGATAGTTAGGACACCTAGATAGCTTATATAGTTCCGTACGTCGAGTGCTTCAAAAAACTATAAACATCTTATATATTTGTTAGGTGGTGACTATGGCACCATACCGCAGCTACTTAACAGAATTACGGACTGTGTTAGGTATCTGCTCGACTGAGCCTACGTAAGACCTACCCTATAAGCGTCTATCTTCGTTGTACTTGTGCACCGAGCATACTCCTCTTGTTTTTGTTATTATTTTTGAAATATAAAACTTACCTCTAACATAAACTGCCGTAACTCTCTTACAATATTACTTTCGTGAATAGCTGAACCAGTGGGGATGAAATTAGCTAAATGATTAGAATCCATACTCAGAATGTTCACTGCATCACGATGAGTTTCAAATTTATCACGTACTATCTGGAAAGATAATTCATTTTTTTATTATCAATATCCAATAGATAAAGAAATTAAAAATATATTTTATTGATAAAGTTGCCATTCATATTTCACGCGAAATATCGACGTTTCCGACTGTATTTATGTTATATGAACCTAGTGTCTAGTTCTAAGAACTTATGTTACTATTATTGTTAAATCACCCTAATCGGAAGTAATCCTCGCTTATCAGGCTATAAACTTTTGTTCTATCGCAGAGACAGTGCAACATATCTGTCTAAGCGGCTTGTCTTATCTTTCACTGCTCCCGACTACGTGCCGCTTTTACCTTTAACGCCCCGCTTTGTAATTCTTGGGTTCATCTTTATAACAACGTAACGACACTGAGGATAAAACCTATCATCACCGTAATTGAAGGGAAATAAAAAAACAAGGAATTCTAAGTGAAGAGCCATCCATAATAATTTCCTTTCAATGTTTGACAATGAATTCTTTATGTACTGTCAAAGCTACTAGCTTATTCAGTCCACTAGATTTCAAACTTATGTATACTAGTCTTTGAGCATTCATAACTAATGTTATAGGTGTCAAAAAAAATTTAACTTTTTTATTTTTACTCTATGATCAATAGCATCGAAAATATTCTCCTTGAAGTAATGGCTTTGCTTCTATAAAATTTTCGAAAATTTATGACCGGTGCTGGATATCGGACGTTTCGCATAAAGCTGCCTAGAATTGGTATGCACCGATTTAAAAGTTATAGTACTCAAAATATTTTGTAATTTGAAGTTCTATCAAATGCCCTGTACTAATTTTTAAAAATCAAGATTGCGGCACCCATATGGCTAAAAGCATGAAAAATCGTGTTGAAAAGATTTCATTGATATAAAACTGATATAAAAAAATTGTTTTACACACATGTTTTCAAGGTCGCTGAATCCAAATCATATATTAGATTAACCCTATCTAGTCACTATTCGGTCCTAACCTAAAAAAATGCTTTAAAATGACGAAATAACGGTATTTTGCGATAATTAACACGGTCAAATCACCTTATCATTACGTTTTCGGGGTGCTGAAATTTAAATTTGGTGCTCCCCTTTATCCACTAAACTTTGGCTCAAACGGGCTACCACCTGTTAATACACAACGATTTGGGATCGCTTCGACCTATTAGTTATTACCGCTTTCGGCCCTTATTTACAATAAATATTACAATTTATAAAAGAAAAGTACGAAGTGATTCCCTTTTCCCCCTGCAGCGTGCGCACCGCTCAAAATCTCACACTAACACCCGCTCAATCCTTCCTAAGCGCTCCCGTGCGTCGATTACCTTCGACCCACAATCCTATACGCATAAAACGGGTCTTAATACTAGTTGGGCGCCATGTAATGGGGTGGATTAGCTGGTACAAAATGGGTTTATTAAAGAACAAACTCCCACGATGCAGAGCTGACCGCCGCTCCGTTAAACACTTATGAGTATACGTGTATTCGCCTTTATGTTTGATACTTTTGTTCCAATGTCTCCTTTTCTAACCGAGTTAAACTCACCTTAAGTCACCTGACTTGTGACACTCGATCTATCTTAAGTGTGAGTGACCTAATGTTTACTACAACTATCCCCTAGATAAAATCGGTTTAAAAATTAACCGGTGACGGAGCCTTAAACGAAAAGTGAACGAAATAATGTAATGCGGCGAATAAAATTAATATCGGTTATCACTGAAAACGTGGGCCGAAAGACTTGCGCGTGCAAATAGGATTTACAAAATTTTACAATAATATGGAGAGAGAAAGAGAGAGAGAATTCAAAATTCAACCGCGAAAACTATCGCTCGGCGCGAACACACAAACCGTTGCGATAGACAAAATACTACCGTATTTTGTCGCGCAGAAAAAAGGAGGTGCACTTACCCTGCGGTGTACTTGCGGTTATCAGCCGTAATTGTTATTTTGCAAAAATACAGGTGCTCCTGCGGAACCATCTACGCTGCCTCACTCAAGAAGATTGGTTGTTGCTCCGATCACTGCTGCTGTTTTGCTGCTGCTACTGGAATTGCTGCTACTTTAATTCTAATACCCTACCTATCACTCGCGCAAATCAAAATCCAGAAAACTTTTGATATCAAACAGCAAAACACAGTGTAAAACTTTTGGCAGTACTCTCACAAGCAGCAGCTGAGGCTTAACTGAAAAATTGAACTCTTGCGCACCCCCTCTCTCAGGCGTTCGCTCTAGCATCGCGAGTGCTACCGAATCGCGAACGTAATGATTGATCGAATCGACGACCGTTGCAGCTCAGAACTACTAAAATTGTTAGACGTCGTAATCCATTTGGTCATTAAGGACACATCGGTAAAGATTTAAGACTAATATCCAAAAATATTCTAAACAAATTCCCGAATATGTCGTTATCAACTAAAATTTGTTCGAAATATAGAAAAGAAGTTTTGTCTTCCGAATCCGACAATGATGAAAATAAGGTCGCAATCGCAAAACATTAAAAGCAATCAACCTCCAACCAAACAAAAATGTCTGTTCAGGGAAAACCAGTTAAAAAAATTATTAGATAGATTAAAAATTAAATTTGCTTCTTTAGAAAAAACTGATTCTTTGAGGCTTATTATTCTTACGATCACTCATGTGTCGGAAAATTCATCAGCAAACTTTAGAATTTAATGTTTGCATAAGAATAGCCAAATTAGCTAAGTTATTAAAAAAACTAGAGTTGTATTAGCTTTACCAACTGTAAGACCTGGAAAAACGTTATCAGAAAATACTGCGAGGAAAGTAAAAATCTTTTATGAAGATTACATTAATAGTAGAGTGATGCTTCAAAAAAATACAGCCATGAATGTAATGGTAGATGGAAATAAACAAAAAGTATAAAAGAAGCTGTTATTATGTGATATTACGTCATTACATGTAGAATTGAAGAAATTATATCCAGTATATCCTATTGGATTTACCAAGTTCTTACAACTTCATCTACAGTGGTGTATCTTGTCAGGTTCTAAAAGTACTTTTACCGTCTGTGTTTATGCAATACATGAAAATTTTAAAAACACGTTTGATGTTGCTAATTTAAAAAAGATCATCATTGATTCAAATAAACCGTTTACCGATTACAATAATTGTTTTTCATTAGTCGTGTGTAGGAAAGTGAAGGATAAGTTTTATTTTAGGAAATGTCGATCTTGCCCTGCCATAGTAACCTTTGCAACTTATGTAACTGAAACATTAAAAAAGAAGAACATTTCTGAAATTATTTTTAGCTTATGGGAATCAACAGGTAGATGTACTCTTATTAAGCAATCCCTTTCAATCAATGACTTTTATCTGAATTTGTAAGATGACTGCCGATATTGATTCTACATCATTTCATCTTTAAAAATCAATTCAAATATATAACAAACCATAAGAATAAAATAAATGAAAAGAAAGTTTTGGTTCAGACAGATTTTTCAGAAAAGATTTCCTATGTTGTACAAAATGCTGCACAATAATTTTATTATAATAACAATCAAGCACCTATTCACCCAGTCATTATTTCCTACAAAAAGAACGAAGAAATAATATGTAGCAATCATATTCTAATTTTAGATTGCATAACTTATGATACTAAAGCAATGTACTCGTATGTTATGCAATAAATTCTAGTTACATAAATTAAGCGGTTAGTACCACGTACAAAAACGGTAGTTTACGTAAGTGACGGCGCGAAACAACTCTACAAAAATAAATACAAAATGTGCAATCTTGTTAACCTTAAAAATGACTTTATTATCAAAGCTGAATGACACTTTTATGAAACTGCTAACGGCAAATGATCACCCGATGGAGTTGGTGCTACGTTTAAAACGCAAGTCGTCGAGCTCAACGAAATGAAGCAATACTAGATTCAATGTCACTGTTTAACTGAGCAAAAAATAAATTAAAAACCTAAGTTACATTATTAGAATAAGAAAGATCATGATAGAGCTCAAAGATATAAAGCATCACAAGTATATTTTATTCAAAGTGCACATGCAATTACAGTATGAGGTACAATATTGAGAATCTACAGATATTCAGGGGATCAAAACTCTATCAGTACATTAAAATATTAAGTAAAACAACAGTATTTAGTAAAAAACATGTGAAGTGAGAAACCAATAAAAAACAAAAAAAAAATAAAACAAACAATAAAATCAGACAAAAATATGGAAAAATAACAATAAACACATGTAAAAAGCAATTAAAAAAATGAAAAAAAGTAATATGGACATAATATGATTAACATGCGGACAGTCTCAACCTTGTAAAAAAAAGAGATGCAATATGAGGTATTGAAAACATAAACGTAGGATAATTTGAATCTTATGCCGGATTTGAATTTAGCGACCCTGAAAACATAAAGATAAGGCGATTGACCGTGTTACTCATTGCAAAATAGCGTTATTTCGTCAATTTTAGTCTTTTTTTACATTAAGTCCGAACAGTGATTAGATGGGGTTAATCTAATATCTGATTTGAACTCAGTAATCTCGGAAACACGTAGTTTAAGTATTTTTAAGTATAAAAGAATTTTTTTATATTAGTTTTACATCAATCAAATCGCTTCAATATAATTTTTCATGCTTTTAGGTGAGATATTGGTGGCGCTATCAAATCACCACACGGCATTCATTAAAACTTCAAATTACGAAAATTATGAGCCCTATAACCTTTTAATCGATGCATACCGATTTTGAGCAGCTCGGAGCACGTTTGACGCAAAACGTCTGATATAAATACATATATATACTAGTAGGGTTGGGTTGGATTCTGCCCCCTATCCTCTACGCCCGCGAACCCCCGAAATTGTAATAACATTTTATAAATGAAAATTTTACAAAATACTTGTCATCGAGTACACTATTTCAATAAGTATTGTATATGGCCCATTCTCGCTTACGGCGAATGCCTCCAGACCTATATATCATCGATTTTCATGAAACTTGGTAGGATGATTGTTTATATGAAGAACAATATCCGTA